CCAACCAGTCTGAGTCTAGGGCCTGTACGGGCAATATCAGAGTCTGCAATGATGTTTCCCTCCGAAAGGGAGGAGGTGCCGGTTGCTTGGAAGGCCGAGCGGCCTGGAAGTCACCGCCCAAGAGGCAAGCAGGCCGCTATATCCCCAGGCTGGGCGAAGAGCCCAGCCTCATTGTCGGTGTGCAAGTTGGGCGACACACTGGTTGGAGCGCTGGCTGGAGCAGCGCTAGCAAGAGCAGCACTGCTGGGGAAGGAGCAAGGACACGGAGGAGGAGGAAGAAGACCAGGAGGAAGGGGGAGCGCCAGAGGTACTTACCTGGCTATGGTGGCAGCCATCTCCATCACCTTGGTGGGCGTTGCAGCAGGAAGGTCCCCGTGGGGGCAGAGCTACACCAAGAAGCTTCGAGGCAGAGTCAGGCATGGACGCCTATGCTAGAGCAGCCATAGCTGCTTTGCGTTGTCCTTTGTACATCAGGGCAAGGCCCGAGTAGTCCGCCATAGCCTCGACCTATGAGAGTGAAGAGTGAGGGAGGCGGCCATGGCTATGGTGGACCTCAGTGATACCTGCAGTAGAAGAGCGATGCGGACATTGATTCTAGTTCAGCCATTCAACATTGTACTATTATTTCTTATGTGAATAAGATAGCAGGCATGGTTGCATCCCTGCCGACCGCCGACCCCGACCGCCGACCGTATTGCAGCCAACCGGTAGGGCCGACCAGTCGGCGGTCTGCCGACCAGTCAGAAAACAACCATCCACTAATGTTTTTTCATATTTGAGTTGGAAGCTGTACTGCGCTTGCTGAGTACAGCCTAAATCCTCTGAGAAACTTTTGGGGATGGGGGGGTTGGGGGTGGGGTGTATAGGGGGACTCTTATACACATCTAGATGTGTATAAGAGACAGGAGAGAGAGAGAGAGAGAGAGAGAGAGTGATGAGCAAAGTCCGCCTTCCACATAAATTAGAGGGCCCCTGCAGAGAATCCAAGGGGTCCTTCCAGTACATCAGCAAGGTCCTACCCTCGAGCAGAGAAAGGCGTTGAATTCGCAGTCGTGTGTACGAGCGGGCCAAGACTATATGGTCTGGATTTGAATTCAGGTCTGTGTTTCAGCAGTTATAGGTTACTAACTTTGCTACGCCCTGTTGGTCTCTGCACGTGATTCTCAGGGCTTTGCTCCACTACTCACCAAATGTGCAAAACTAGAATGAATCTTCCCCCAGAACATGGAACCATACGCCGCCATATGCTTTTTCCTGCAGAGACCAGCAGGGCATATATTGTTGGCCCGCTCATGCCCTTCTCAAAATTGTTGGCCCATAACTCATGAAACAGAGAACTGAATTCGAATCCAGAGCATACATTGTTGGCCCGCTCATGCCCTTGTCAAAATTCGACGACCAGCTCTGTCTGGTGATGAGCCCTTGCAATTTTTTTTTTGCAGGGGCCTCCTGGAAAAGAGACTCGATCCAATGAGGACATGCACACACCCACGCACACACATGCACATTGCACACACAGTCTTTGGGCACAACGCGGCCCAATTTTGTTTTCCCTTTCCATTTCTAATTTGTACAATTTTTTTTTACTGACCCCTATTTACCGGGATGTGCCGCATCACGTGCACGTGCGCTATGCGCCGCACGCGCGCACGTGATGCGCCGCAAGTATGATCAAGAATGAATGTGTAAACACGTTTTGCCCCCTGTTCTCTGCACTCCCGGTTCAATTTGCCGTCTGCAAGTGGTGACACATTTTCAAATAGAAGACACCCAGCCTTCTGGGTGAACAGTGAATGCATGTAGCTGCTTTTGTATCCCCGGTTCTTTACTCGTTCCATTTCTATTTGTGTCTATTTCTTTCCATTTCCATTTCCTTGTTTCCCCTAAGGCTGCCAGGCAGTGAATCGCTTCCCGCATATCAACGAGTAAAGTGACGTGATCTGCTCATTGAACACATACAACTCGACTTTTCCCATTGCATCCATAGTCATGTTTGTTTCCATTCTGCACTTCTGTTTCACCAGTTCCGAAGTTTGTTTGTGCTACCTTGGCAGAAAGGCCCTATTTTGAGGGCACTGTCTAAGTCCCTTTTTTTCCTTGGCTGCTTATTCACTGCCGCCTCACCACCTTTCCACCTCGCCCTTGCTGCCTGCCTTTGTGCCTTACTTTCTTTGTCTACCTGCCATGCTGCTCTGCACCTTCAGGATGTGCCAAATAGTTCCCCCAACAGTGTTTGAAGTCCGTTTTTGTACTTTCAAGGAACCTGCTTGTGTCCATGTCCCTTCTTCCTTCCTTGCTGACTGCCTTGCTGTCATGCTTGCTTCACTGCCCTCTGCTGCCTGACTTTCTTGGCTTACATTGCTTGCCGCCTCACAATGCCATGGTCATACTGTGCTTGCCAGCCTCACTGCTGGCTTGCCTCCTTCCCAACTCTCTGCCTTGCTATCTTTTTCTTTCGTTCAAAAAGGAGGCTTCCCGTAACGTTATTATATCCATCCCAGTCCGTTCAGGTTTAGAACTCAAACCACCAGTACCTTTCTCAGCTATCGGTGCCGAGACTAAATCGACCTGCGGTCCTGTGCGCCAAAAAAAAAACAACCGGCGCAGATTCGATTTTGGCTGGCGCCACCAGAAATTTTGCGCCGGTAGTCCCGAAGCTGCGCTCCCCCCATATTAACCGGCGGGCATTTATTTTTCAAGCGGAGAAAGGTACTGGTGGTTTAAGAGTTATACTTGCGTTCCATTCAGCCACATCGGCTACGTAACGCATTTCTATCGGACTCTTCCCGGTTGCTTTCCCGGCTTGCTCATTTTGACTTGCTAAACTTGGTTTGCTTGCCTGTGCTGCCTTTTGCGTCACTGCCTTGCACCCTAGAGATGTGCACGCTAGACTTCACTTCCTTTCTTCCTTGCCGGTTCGCTCCCAATCTTCCTGCCTCGCTGCTCACCGTGTGTGCTACCTTGCTGCCTCGTGCTGTGCTTGCCTGCCTTTCTCCTTGTCTCGCTTTGCAAGCCTGCCTGCTTTGCTCTCTTGCTCGCTTTGCTCACCTGCCTGACTTGCTGTCATTCTTTGCTTGCCTCTCTCACTCCCCCTTGCACACTCAAGATGTGTCAAATAGTTCCATTACATTTGTTAGGCGGTCCTGCGGAACTGCCGAGGGGCCCAAGGGGTCTTCCTGAGTCTCAGCCAGTTCGCCTTTGCCACTTTGTTTCTGTGCTTTGCATACCTGCCCTGGTTGTTGCCTACCGTCTTCACCCAAATAGAACGCCCGGGTCATTATAGCCATATTTGCTGCAAATTCCAGTCCATATACGGCCACTATTACTGGGCGTTCTATTCGGGTGAAGACGGTAGCTGTGCCTAACCACTTGTGCTTTGCTTGCCTCCCTGGAAGGTACACTATCTAGTATCTGCCTTGCTTGCCTCGCTGCCTCATGATTTGCAGGCCCCTCGCTTGGTTGGTAGCTCAAGGCCTTATCTCCTCACGGCCATACTTGATGCCTTGTCATCTCACTGCTCTGCTTATTTGCCTGCCTACCGTCTTAACCCAAACATAATGCATATGCGTTGTAAATGAGTACAACGCATAGGTTGCTTTCTATTCGAATACAGTGCGTATGCATTCTGTGTGAACGGCCCTTATCTTGGAACACGACGCATATGCATTCTATTTGAATCATCGATTTTTTTTTCAAACTCAAATACAACGCATATGCGTTATCTTCGCGGGAAGACGGTAGCTTGGAGACTCCACATTCCTTGCTGCCTTGCTGAGTCATCTTTGCTCTCGTCCTCGCTGCCTTGCGCTTTGCTCTCCTAACTACCTGCCTGCCTTTCCCCCTGTCGACGTTGCCGAGTGACTGGCTTGCGGCTCAACTGCCCTAGCACCGGACTGATTGGCAGGTCGACTCTCTTGCCATCTGCTTGCTGCCTCCACTTGCTCCCATCATTGTGCATTCACTCCGGCTGCTGGAAGTGATGACCGACACAGTAGATCCCCCTGTCGACGTTTTCAAAGCCAACCGATTGGCTTGCTACTCAACTGCCCTAGCACCGGACTGATTGGCAGTTTGACTCTCTTGCCATCTGCTTGCTGCCTCCGCTTGCTGCCTCCGCTTGCTCCCATCATTGTGCATTCACTCCGGTTGCTGGAAGTGATGACCGACACAGCAGATCCCCCTGTCGACGTTTTCAAAGCCGGGTGATTGGCTTGCTGTTCAACTGCCCTAGCACCCGACTGATTTGCAGCTCCACTCTTTTTCTGCCTGCTTGCTGACTCTGCTTGCTTCCATCATTGTGCATTCACTCCATAGCTGGCTGGTGGATGTGATACCAGCCACAGTAGGTGGCTTGACTGGCATCAAGCCAACTAATGAAACACAGAAGTTGCAAAACCCGTGTCTCAGCGCATACTCACACTGGCACTCTTTTACGTATTTTCTGGATGGGATTGTGGCCAGGTAGGTGCATACAGGTCCGGCCGTAAATACAGCCACACACATTTTAGTCTTTTTTAAGATCATGCTAGTGTGAGTACGCCCTGAAACACAAGTCGTTAAATAATGTGTGGACACAAATGGCATAAAAGAAAAGGAGAGGGCAAACTACGGCAGGGTTCTGGTTTTGCTGCCTTTCATGTTTCACTTTTACAAAAAAACACCTGACAACCCATCCCCTCGATTCCAGGACTCATCATTGGCATCACTTCCAGTTCGCTTCAACAGAGGGAAGTGAGGCACACCAACCGGCGCGCAACACACAGCCTCATTTCCAATAAACGCCGAGATCATGTGGCAAGCGAGATTGCGCACGTCCATGCATGCAATTGACGAGACAGCACGGGAAAACTCAGTCAGCACACAATGTAAGGGCGAGGCCACACTGGTACAATGCTGACTCCGTTCGAAGGGGGTGGGGGAGAGGAGGAGATCAGTTTTAATTAAATCCCTGATAACATCTGGTGCATGTTGAGAACAAAGGGCACCAGGAGCTAAGGGAGATGGAGACATGAGGACAAGGACCACAGGAGGAGGGCAAGGAGGGAGAACAAGAGAAGGAGGCAAAAACGAAGACGAAGACGAAGACGAAGACGAAGACGAAGACGAAGACGAAGACGAAGACGAAGACGACAAAGAAGACAAAGAAGACAAAGAAGACGACGATGTAGAAGAAGCGGGGAAACCACACGTCAGACACAAACATACACGCATGCGAAGGTTCAGAAACAATTACCTCGAAGTCCACGGATGCATACACCCTGATCCAGTCAGCATATGGATGTTCATCTGGTATACTTTTCAGAGCTGCTTTGACAGAACTGCCAAGAAACGCGTAGAGCTGCATGCAGGGAGCCATGGCGGCCATCACTCGTCCGACAGCATATCTACTCGTTTTCCTCCTTTGAAAATCTTCCCTGCTCCTGCCCTCATAGACAGCCTCATCACACAGCCCACCATCTTCAACTTCCAACCCTCCGGGTTCTCTTCTTCTTCCTCCTCTTCTGAGGCCATTCTCTGCAATCTGCACTTCCACCCTCCCTACATCTGACATTACCCCCGTTTGCGGACCCACTGCCGTCTGATTTGCACCCTTGACTCCCATCATGGCAGCTGCTACGGACGTGGTGCACATGTCCATCGAAGTATGGACGGTCTGCAACAGGAAGTCGGTGTACGATGTCGTCGCTTGATTTGGCTCCGCCATGTCCTTCGGATCCATACCCCAGCTCTGCAAAAACAACAGCGAGAAGAAGAAAGGGAGAAATGAGCACTGCGGGAGAAATGCCTCCACAAGAAGAAAAAAAGGACAAATGAACACGGCCTCCACAAGAAGAAAGGGACAAATGAACATGGAGGGAGAAACGCCTCCATTGCATCAGCTTCACTGTGCCCTCGTCCCCAGCTAAAGAAGACACCGCTGCTGCAGATGAAATCACCTCGTAAAAAAGAAGAAGCAGAAGAAGAAGACAAAGAAGAAGAAGAAGACAAAGAAGAAGAAGAAGAAGAAGAAGAAGAAGAAGAAGAAGAAGAAGAAGAAGAAGAAGAAGAAGACCCAGCTGCATGCAGCCAAAAACTTTATGCAAGTGCAACAACCATCCATGCAAATGCAACCCAGCCAATGTGGCTGAATGGTATACACATGGAATTGTTCATAAACAGGTCATGAGCTCAAATCCTGACAATAATCGGCAAGGGCTACCCCCTTCAGAAAAATCCATGCAAATGTGCAAATGTGTGATGACCCGACCAAACACGGACTGAGACACACAGCTGATTTCTGAGTTTTGCTCATGGACTGAATGCCTTGCTGAGTTTCCCGCTTGCTACTAAGTTTTCTAAGTCTGTGTGTGTGCACGCTTGCTGGTCTGCATGCATGTCTGAGTGCTTGTTGGCTTGAGTGTGTGTGTGACCCGCAAGGGCACTTGTTCGTTCGCTGAGCCCGCAGGGCCGGTACTTACCTGTGTCCGTGACATTGAGGATTGCAGCGGGGGAAAACACTCAAGTGGCGGGGGAAGAGGCCCTCAACACTTGAAGCAGCGGGGAAACACTCAAGTAGCAGGTAGGCCGGTACCACACCCTGAAGAGGTAGATGTGCCGGGTACTCGAGGCCGAGCAGAAGAAGACAAAAGTGGCATTTTTAGAGGCCCAGTAGTTGTAGGCTAGGTCTAGGCAGGTACCAGTCCAACCAGTCTGAGTCTAGGGCCTGTACGGGCAATATCAGAGTCTGCAATGATGTTTCCCTCCGAAAGGGAGGAGGTGCCGGTTGCTTGGAAGGCCGAGCGGCCTGGAAGTCACCGCCCAAGAGGCAAGCAGGCCGCTATATCCCCAGGCTGGGCGAAGAGCCCAGCCTCATTGTCGGTGTGCAAGTTGGGCGACACACTGGTTGGAGCGCTGGCTGGAGCAGCGCTAGCAAGAGCAGCACTGCTGGGGAAGGAGCAAGGACACGGAGGAGGAGGAAGAAGACCAGGAGGAAGGGGGAGCGCCAGAGGTACTTACCTGGCTATGGTGGCAGCCATCTCCATCACCTTGGTGGGCGTTGCAGCAGGAAGGTCCCCGTGGGGGCAGAGCTACACCAAGAAGCTTCGAGGCAGAGTCAGGCATGGACGCCTATGCTAGAGCAGCCATAGCTGCTTTGCGTTGTCCTTTGTACATCAGGGCAAGGCCCGAGTAGTCCGCCATAGCCTCGACCTATGAGAGTGAAGAGTGAGGGAGGCGGCCATGGCTATGGTGGACCTCAGTGATACCTGCAGTAGAAGAGCGATGCGGACATTGATTCTAGTTCAGCCATTCAACATTGTACTATTATTTCTTATGTGAATAAGATAGCAGGCATGGTTGCATCCCTGCCGACCGCCGACCCCGACCGCCGACCGTATTGCAGCCAACCGGTAGGGCCGACCAGTCGGCGGTCTGCCGACCAGTCAGAAAACAACCATCCACTAATGTTTTTTCATATTTGAGTTGGAAGCTGTACTGCGCTTGCTGAGTACAGCCTAAATCCTCTGAGAAACTTTTGGGGATGGGGGGGTTGGGGGTGGGGTGTATAGGGGGACTCTTATACACATCTAGATGTGTATAAGAGACAGGAGAGAGAGAGAGAGAGAGAGAGAGAGTGATGAGCAAAGTCCGCCTTCCACATAAATTAGAGGGCCCCTGCAGAGAATCCAAGGGGTCCTTCCAGTACATCAGCAAGGTCCTACCCTCGAGCAGAGAAAGGCGTTGAATTCGCA